TCATGTGGATGTCCACGGTGGGGACGTTCTCGTAGCCGCCGGCCAGACGCTCGTCCTGGAGGGACAGAACCAGAACCTGTCAGAACCCCTGAGGAACCTCCTGGCTCTCAGGGAGCGGCGGTACCTTGTGGGACCCTCCGGACCACTGGCCGAAGTCCTCCATGGTCTCCACCATGTGATCACACATCTTCTCAGAGAAAGCTGGAAACCAGTAGACATCTGGACAGGGCTGGAGGACAGAGCAGAGGACATTAGAGGCCCAGTTTACACCAGAACCGCCTGGCTCAGGCCCACAGGCCCAGTCCGGTTCCTGCTCCAGTACCTGCTCCACCACGCCGCTGCCCTCCTCAAAGATCTTGGAGTAGTTCTCGTGGATGTACTTCTCCGCCAGTCCTGCAGGGACAGAGACAGACAGACTCAGTCCCAGCCCCCCACCAGAACCCGGCGGACCTCCGGTCCGGTTCTGACCAGCGGGTTGTCGAAGATCTGCCACATGTCCGGGTGGGAGTCTGGACGTGTTGAAGGTGGCGGATGCCACCAGCCGGCCGAACTCGTCTCGGTTGGAGACGAACATGAAGACGCCCTGAGGACACACGGTGGCGCCGGTGAGTCGGTCCAGAGGAATCGGACCGGGTTCCGGTACTAAGCCTGCGGCGTTACCTGGTCCCTGATGGTTCTGCAGAACACCATGTCCGGGTCCATTCCTTCGTCCACAAACAGGCTGACCTGGGACAGTTTGGACCGCAGGACGCCCTTCACCAGGTAGACCTGGGTGATGTAGGGGACGTTCCAGAGCCCGCTGGGGACAGAGACCGGGTCAGAACCTGGGTTGGAACCGGTCCCAACAAATACTGGGTCGGAACCGGTCCCGACACAGGTTAGAACTGACATCACTTCCTGTCCAGTATCATCGGCTGCAGAAGCCCCGCCCACCATCAGAACCTGACCGTATGACTCAGACCTGCTGAGCAGAACCAGCGGTCCGGTCCGGTACCGTGGCGCAGCAGCAGGACTTACACCCTCTTGCCCTGGACGATCTCGATGTAATCCTCGGAGCGCGAGTAGAACCCGTCCGGACTCAGAGCGCCCCAGAAGTTGCTCCACAGTTTGCCGTGTTTGGACAGCATGGGGGCGACGGACCTGGGGCGGAACACGGAGACCCGGTCAGAGCGGCCTCGACCCGGACAGAACCGGGCCGGACCAGAACCTACTTGTTCTCCTCTATGAGGATCTGGAGCGTGTCCGGGTTGGTCAGCGCCACGTCCGAGTCGATGCTGAAGAAGTAATCGCAGGCCGGGTTCTTCTGGCACGCCTCGCTGCACACAGACAGGGTTAGAGCCGACCAGAACCGGCACCGGCCCAGACCCGGTTCTGCACTCACATCGCCATGGTTCTGGCCTTCTCCTCTGGCAGGTTCTCCTCAGGTCCGACCAGAACCGCGTCAGGGAACAGAACCCTGTGGCGCTCCAGAACCGTGGATGTGTTGCTCATGGGTACACGACCTGCAGGACAGGACGGGTCAGAACCAGAACCAGAGCCGGGTCAGAACCGGAGCCGGGTCCAGAACCAGAACCGTACGTTGTTGTGGATGAAGAGCCGGATCCGGGTCTTGCTGTAGCTCATGGTGGCCAGACGCTCCAGGAACTCGTCCATGAAGGGAGTCGGATGTTCGATGAAGACGGCCAGGAAGACCAGAGGGAGGTCTGCGTCCTGCGGGGAGAGACAGTCAGAGAGGACCTCTATAGACCCCCTCCCCCTGTAGACCTCCCCCAAACCTGTGCCCCCCCCTGTAGAGCCCCCCTCCCCCCCTTACCTGGCGGTCGCCCAGCGACAGCAGGTCGTCGTCGCAGCCTCCACAGCCGTGTTCGTAGGTCCAGGCCGTTGGGACGTAGTTTCCCAGGTAGTTGAGCTGCAGCTGCGGACGGGAGACAGGAGTTGCTATGGCAACGGTACAACTTCCTGTTGCCATCACAGCGGAGCCCTCTGATTGGCCGTTACCTTGGTGGGTCCGTTGCCGTGGATAACCACAGGAAGCGTGTCGTAGGCCACGTTCCTCACTCTGACCTTTGACCTCTCAAACTTCAGGACAACCTCGTCTGGGGAGAGAGCCGGTCAGAACCAGCGAGGTCCGGTTCTGGACAGGTCCAGAACCGGACCAGAACCGTCCAGACTCACCGATGGCGCCGTTGAGGTTCTGGAAGATCTGGGATCGGTGGTCCAGAGTCATGTTGAACCGGGTCTGAAACACAGCACAGCATCAGTCGGGTTCTGTGCGGCCGCTGCCGCCTGCCGGCCCGGTTCTGACCCGGTTACCCTCTGCTTCTGGTCCAGGTAGATCCGGGTGTAGAACAGCTGGTCGTCGTCGTTGTCCCTGAACTTCCACTGCTGGACGATGGCGGCCAGGTCCGAGGAGAACCCGATGAATCCTGGACAGAACCGCAGGTCAGCGGACCAGAACCACAGAACCACAGAACCGCAGAACCGCAGAACCTCACCTCCAGAGTTCAGGTAGCGCTTCCCAGAATGCACCTGGGGGTACTTGGAGGCCAGGCGCTGGTCGGGCCAGCAGAACCCCTCGGCAGAGAAAACGACCCGGTGGCCCAGAGAGGAGAACCGGGTCAGAAGCTCGTCTGGACCGGCCGCCAGAATCACATCGTAGCTGCAGAGACGAGCAGAGGCCCGGTTAGACCCGGTTAGACAGAACCGGTCCCGGTCCAGTTTGAGCTGATAGAAGGAATATTTATTATTTTATTTTTCTGTATTTTATCGAGTCGCTGCCACTTTGAGCCAAAGCATCCCATAATGCCTCTGGCTGCAGGCTGGCTGCCATGGCGATCAGAGCATCACCGAGCAGAGATGAGGAAGAGGAGCAGATGAGGAAGAGGAGCAGTGATGAGGAAGAGGAGCAGAGATGAGGAAGAGGAGCAGTGATGAGGAAGAGGAGCAGAGATGAGGAAGAGGAGCAGCAATGAGGAAGAGGAGCAGTGATGAGGAAGAGGAGCAGCGATGAGGAAGAGGAGCAGCGATGAGGAAGAGGAGCAGCGATGAAGGCTACCTGTCCACGAACATGACGACCAGCTGCTGGTCCTCTGAATGCTTCAGCAGCTCCTCCTTCAGCCACCTGACCTTCTGACCTCCGCCCACCGTCCGGGCCACGTCTCCGCCCTTCCACTCCTCCCCGAGGCCCAGCACCTGCCAGAGGTCAGCGGGGTCAGAGGTCAGCAGGGGTCAAAGGTCAGCGGGGTCAGCCGGCCAGAGTTCTGGTTCTGGTCTCACCTTCAGGCTGTAGTTGAACTGCGCCGCCGTTTTCACGAAGCGCCTGAAACCGTCCGTCTCCTCCGTTGCTGCGGTAACGACCAGCAGGTTTTCTACAGCAGAGACACAGAGAGTCAATCTAGATGCTGCAGGTCTAGATGCTGCAGGTCTGGATGCTGCAGGTCTAGATGCTGCAGGTCTGGATGCTGCAGATATAGATGCTGCAGGTCTAGATGCTGCAGGTCTGGATGCTGCAGGTCTAGATGCTGCAGGTCTAGATGCTGCAGATATAGATGCTGCAGGTCTAGATGCTGCAGGTCTAGATGCTGCAGATCTAGATGCTGCAGGTCTAGAGCTGATCCTCCATTCTGATTGGCTGCTGGAGGCCCCCACACCTGGAGCTGACCCCTGACCTTCTGCGTAAAGTTTTCACATTCGTTCATGACCTCTGACCTGAATGCTCCGTACTGATAGGAGGAAGAGGAGGAGCAGGTGAATAACACCTGGTTGTCCTGCAGCTCCAGTTTCTCTGCTCTGAATGTCTGAAACCAGAAACCTGCTGAGGAAGAGGAGGAGGAGGAGGAAGGCTGATCTGACCCAGAATCAGCTGCTCTACTGTCCTCCAGGTGATCTGCTGGAACCAGTAGAACCAGTAGAACCAGAGCCTGATGGATCTCTGCTCAGCATCAGTAATTATTCTCACTTATTATTCACCTGTTTACTTATTATTATTATTATTATTATTATGTTAAAACAACAAAACAAGAAACATTCATCTCTGAATTAGGGGTTGCCATGGTAACAGTGATCCATCTGATCAATCATCATTACGGTTAAGATTTTTAGAGGTCCAGAACGGTTCTGGAGAGTCCAGAATGGTTCCGGAGACAGGTCCAGAATGGTTCCGGAGACAGGTCCAGAATGGTTCTGGACCTTCAGGGGAGATCCGTCCTGAAAGCAGAACTTTCTGCCTCCTGGTCATAATCTCCTCCATCTTCACTGAGTTGTGATTTAATCCTTTTCTTTTCTGCTTCAGTTCATTAATAATCTCTCCAGTCTCAGTTGATCTGGATCCGCTGGATCTCCGGATCTCCAGCGGATCCAGCGGCTCTCCGCTCTCCTTCTGACCGACCCCAGCAGCCCGCGGAGCGGCCTTACCTGCTGAGAGCTGCCGCTGTTCGGCCCACGCGGCGCTGAGGAACCAGACGGCGGCGAGCCACAGAAGCCGATTGGACGCCATGTGTTCCGCTTTGTGACCCGGTTAGAACCGGCTCGGTTTCGGCAGAACAGAACCGTTAGTTTATCCGCTTCTACTCGGGACTCTTTCAGCTTCCTGCCGTCCAAATCTCGCGATGCCTCAGCAACGAGACGTCCCAACATCAACACAGACCGCAGTGCTCGCGGTTCAGCCAATCAGCGGGCAGAATGTTTGAGTGACGCGGCGCTGAGCCAATCAGCGGCCGACAGATGGACTCGGTGGGAGATATGGTTCTGTTCACATTTGTCCAACTGGAGAAACTTCGTGAAAAGACCTGAGTCTGTGCCACGTGTGTCCACGGAGAGAGTGGGTTCAATGAGAACACCAACACGTAGAGCAGCATTTATCGATTATCTATTATGTATAGAGTCCGTTAATGAAACAATAGATATCAGTTTAATCTCTTGAATTTCACAAACGTTTCAGATTTTATAACTAAAATAAAGAGGCGGGAGAAAAACAGCATCAATATCCACAAAAACTAGCAATTATGAATCAAAACCAGTTGGAGCAACATTTCATTCCCCTTCCGGATCAATAACAGCCTTTTAATGGACTTGTTGGTGAGTTCTGGTGCTTCACTACAACTCCCATGAGCCCCCGCGGCCTGCAGCCAGGAAGGTAAACAAAGCGCGGCAACCGCCGCACCTCCTCTTGTCATGGCAACGCAACTACCGACAAACCTGCAGAAAGTGAAAAAGTATTTCTAACCCAAACCGAGACCCGGTTCGGCCCGGTTCATCTCGGTTTAACCCGGTTCGGCCCGGTTTCTCCATGTCTGGCCCGGTTCGGCCCGGACACACAATGAGGAAGCGGCCCCGGTTCTTCACCCCCGCGGAGGTGGCCTCCCACTTCACGGCGGCCGACCTGTGGGTCTCCTTCCTGGGCAGAGTGTTCGACCTGACCCCGCTGATGCAGCAGCACGCAGGTGAGCTGCAGGTGTTCCGGCTCAGACCGGATGTGACGCTCAACTTGTGTTGAATATCAATTAGTGCATTACTAGTAATGTGATTACACTGTTTACATTTCATCCTGGTCTCATAATAAGAAAATTAATGGACATTAAAATGAATCTCTACAAATAGAAACTTTAAATCTTTTCTCCTATCAAATGGTTTATAGGGAAAGATATGTGAGAATTAAACAGATGAATATTTTATTAATAACTCGAGGATTTGAAAACAATTTCAATGCTTTATGGTTTATTTCTAAACTTAATGTTTAGAAACTTGGACAAAGTTTAAAACTGGATTTCATCTCTTCCCAGTTCTCCATGTAGTTTAATGAATCATTCAGTTTTATTTGTTTCTGCTGCTGTAGATTTATTGATTTATTCTTTTTAAAGGAATCCATAACTTAAATCTGTTTACATGTTAACAAATGGAACATATTGTAATTATGAGGAGATGTGATTCAATTTGATATGAATATTTTGTTTTCTCAACCTTCTGAGTCATGGACCCGGTTGACCTCGTCTGACCCGGTTGACCTTGTCTGACCCGGTTGACCTTGGCTGACCTTTGCTCCCCCCTGCAGGTGACGTGCTGCTGCTGCCCATCATAGAATGTGCTGGGAAGGACATCAGCAGCTGGTTCGACCCAAAGACCAGAGACGTGAGTGAAACCGGTCGCCGGCTTGGCTTCCATCACGGATGTATTTCAGCAGTGACCTTTGAACCTGCTGGGAGCTGAGCTGTTTGTGGTTTTTCCAGATCCTGAGGTTTGTGGACCCTGTGACGTGCTGCGAGCGGTACTACACCCCCAGGGGCGCTTCGTGCACACGCCGCCCAGCGGGCCGCGCTCCGACTGGGACACGGACCTGGGCCAGCCCTGGTGGAAGGACCGCAACTACGAGGTGGGGCTGCTGTCAGCCAAGACGCGCTGGATCCGCGTGGTCAACACGCTGACATTACAGGAGCAGCTGCTGGAGGTGAGACAGGCCCAGTGCACTGTGGGTAATGGAGTATGTGCTGTGAAGCTCACAGTGCATTCTGGGTAACATAGTGAAGCTCAGTGCATTCTGGGTAACGTAGTGAAGCTCACAGTGCATTCTGGGTAACATAGTGAAGCTCAGTGCATTCTGGGTAACGTAGTGAAGCTCACAGTGCATTCTGGGTAACATAGTGAAGCTCAGTGCATTCTGGGTAACGTAGTGAAGCTCAGTGCATTCTGGGAAACGTAGGGAAGCTCAGTGCATTCTGGGTAACGTAGTGAAGCACAGTGCATTCTGGGTAACGTAGTGAAGCACAGTGCATTCTGGGTAACGTAGTGAAGCTCACAGTGCATTCTGGGTAACGTAGTGAAGCACAGTGCATTCTGGGTAACATAGTGAAGCTCAGTGCATTCTGGGTAACGTAGTGAAGGTCACAGTGCATTCTGGGTAACATAGTGAAGCACAGTGCATTCTGGGTAACATAGTGAAGCTCAGTGCATTCTGGGTAACGTAGTGAAGCTCACAGTGCATTCTGGGTAACGTAGTGAAGCACAGTGCATTCTGGGTAACATAGTGAAGCTCAGTGCATTCTGGGTAACGTAGTGAAGGTCACAGTGCATTCTGGGTAACATAGTGAAGCTCAGTGCATTCTGGGTAACGAAGTGAAGCTCAGTGCATTCTGGGTAACATAGTGAAGCTCAGTGCATTCTGGGTAACATAGTGAAGCACAGTGCATTCTGGGTAACGTAGTGAAGCACAGTGCATTCTGGGTAACATAGTGAAGCTCAGTGCATTCTGGGTAACGTAGTGAAGGTCAGTGCATTCTGGGTAACGAAGTGAAGCTCAGTGCATTCTGGGTAACGTAGTGAAGCACAGTGCATTCTGGGTAACATAGTGAAGCACAGTGCATTCTGGGTAACGTAGTGAAGCACAGTGCATTCTGGGTAACATAGTGAAGCACAGTGCATTCTGGGTAACGTAGTGAAGGTCAGTGCATTCTGGGTAACGAAGTGAAGCTCAGTGCATTCTGGGTAACATAGTGAAGCTCAGTGCATTCTGGGTAACATAGTGAAGCACAGTGCATTCTGGGTAACATAGTGAAGCTCAGTGCATTCTGGGTAACATAGTGAAGCTCAGTGCATTCTGGGTAACGTAGTGAAGCTCACAGTGCATTCTGGGTAACGTAGTGAAGCCTGGCCCTCCTCAGGTGTGCTCCGAGGAGATCCTGGAGGAGATCCTGCAGCGTTACCTGCGCCACAACGCTCACGCCAACAGCTACACCTGGAAATACCACGGAGTCGTCCTGGACATGCAGAAGACGCTGAGCGATAACGGCGTCATGGACGACGACCTGGAGCTGGAGCAGCTCAGGATGGACCGCGACCTCTTTGTCCCCGCCATCCTGCTCTACTTCAACGACGACCTCACCGAGGGATGATGTCATCGCTGTGACATCACATTAAACTTCCTGCTGCTGCACCTGGCAGGTCCTGTGATGTGAACCTGAACGCCTTCCAGGCCCAGAGAGCCTGGGAGCCTCCAGATATTGCAAATATCTCAGCACACTTAGAATAAAACTCACTTAAACTCTC